TACACATGTACTGTTCTAAATAGCGTGAAAAAGCGCCGCTATAGCACGATTAAGCGCGATAAGGCGGGAAAAAAAGCGCTATAGTGCGTTTAATCGCGCAATGTGCCGCTATAGCGCGCTAAAGCGGTCAACAAAAAAGGTTACCGCTATTTTACGCGCATATCACAAAAGAGTCGCGTTTTCTCCACGCTCCACGCTATAGCGGCGTTTTTTCCCGCTATTTAGAACACTGATTGTAAGAATGAATTTTTGAATAGTAGATTGATAGATAATGTGTGATAAAAAAATAAGAAAAAGTTTTGAATTTGCGTATAGTATTATTTTATTGAAAATATTTAGTTGAAAATAAGAGAGAACAATGTATTTTGGAAGTAATAGAGATCAAACAATCGCCTAATGTAGATTCTCTACTATCACCACCTTAGATTGATTCATCAACTTCACCATATTCATCTTCTTCGCTCCCTCAATCGACTTCATTGCTTCCAATAACAATACAACCAACAAACACTTCTCCTCCCTCTCTTTAATCCTTATCGTCACTATGCTCGTAAAGTATTTGAAATGTGTTGATAGAAAGTAACTCGAGTATTGGTAAATCGTTTACAAAATTGAGTCAAACTAAAATTAAGTAACGATAAGCGAATAAACCGATTTCTAAATAACCGAGTACCAAACTATATCCATTTTAAAATCTAATCCTCCGGTTCGCAATAGAGTTAAATGTTTAATTACCTATTGTACTTTACATCATGTCACGATTTATCTACCGAACTTTCATAATCGTCCCATTATCCATTGAACTTTGATCCGTTATCCTCCATTACACACTGGGTGGCTGCCGTTTCAAATAACGATGAGTATGACATGGAAGATGGAAATTTGAGCCGACATGTTATCTCCTTCCAAATATTCAGGACGTGTTCGGTAGAAAATCGGATTAAAATTGAAAAACTAGCCGTTATTGTTGACTTTTATTAGACAAGTGAGAACCAATAACGGCTATATTTTCAATTTTAATTGGATTTTAAGCACGACCAAACAACCCTTAAAAGAGACGCCATGTCAGCGCCACATCACACGGCGAAACACGCCTTTATCTAGTTTTAACGGGTTAATTTCACAAACGGTCACTGAACTTACATAAAAATCACAAAACGGTCACTGAAGTTCAAAACTTGCAGAAATGGTCACTGAACTTACCTACACTTTCACTACCAGTCACTGAAGGACCAAAACACATGAATTGAATCCTTGAAG